CGAATCCAGCAGCTGCTGGAGAAAGAAGAGATGGGAGACAGAACGCCATCTCAATTTCTGCGGCACATGCAGAACTTGGCGGGTCAGGCAGTACCGGACAAATTCCTGGGTACGTTATGGACTGGCAGGCTACCCAGCATGATCCGGGCGATCGTAAGCGCGCAGCCAGACATCCCGCTAAACAAGCTTGCGCAAATCGCGGATCAAATACACGAGGGCACAACCCAAGCCCACGTGGCCAGCATAGCCGCCCCGCAGACCGAGACGACAGAAACAATGAGAGGCCTGCTGGAGGAGTTCAAGCTCGTCGTCAGCGAGCTCACACGTCCGCGGACCGGAGATAACCGTTCAACATCGAGGCACCGTTCGAGAAGACACCGCGACCGTTCAGGATCCAGAGGCCGACGCCGGAGCGCATCCCCGCGAAACGTGGACCATTGCTGGTACCACCAGACTTTCGGAGCGAGATCCACGAAGTGCCGACAGCCGTGCACATTCGACGCGGGAAACGATCGGGCATCACGGTAAATGCGGCAAATTGTGATGGACCGCGGACCCGCCACCTCTTCATTCTTGAACGCAGCAAGAACGAAGAGTATCTTGTAGACATCGGTTCAGACCTGTGCGTGTACCCGCGTGCGTACATTAAAGGCCCGTTGAAGAAAGCGAAACACGAACTGTTCGCGGCAAACGGGTCCGACATCGGCACGTACGGGCTGAAACCAGCAGACCTGGACCTGGGATTACGACGGTCGTTCACGTGGAGATTCGTGATAGCGGACNTGAGACGGAGCATAGAGATCACCTGCGCACACTTTTTTCACGTCTGCAGGAGTACGGCATCGTCGTGAACCCGAGCAAATGCGTATTCGCGGAATCGGTAGTGAGGTTTTTAGGTTACGAGGTCAGCGCCGAGGGTACCAGGCCACTAGCCGAGAAAGTTAAGGCCATACGCGAATACCCGAAACCCGCAACAGTCAAACAACTGCGCGGTTTCCTAGGTATGGCCAATTTTTATCGTAGATTCATACCCGGCGCGGCCACGTTGCAGGCTCCACTCAATCTGCTGTTGCGGGGGCGCAAGCTGAAAGGCAACACGCCCGTGCAGTGGACGAGTGAGGCGGAATCTGCACTAGAAAACCTAAAGACCGCGTTAGCGAACGCGACACTATTGGCGCATCCGTCGAACGATTCGCGCCTCTCAATCATGGTCGATGCATCAGATTTCGCGCTAGGAGCGACGCTGCAGCAGTGGCAAGGCGGTTCGTGGCAACCGTTAGCTTTTTGCACGAAAGCCTTGTCACCTGCACAAAAAAAATATAGCGCATATGACCGCGAGCTGCTGGCGATTTACACAGCAGTAAAGCATTTCCGCCATGCGATTGAGGGACGCGAATTTACAATTTACACGGACCACAAACCAATAGTGTTCGCGTTCAAACAAAGATCGGACAAGTGCACGCCGAGACAGTTCCGATATCTCGACCTTATCGGACAGTTCACCACGAACATACAACACGTTAGCGGCAAGGACAACGAGGTCGCAGACGCACTCTCGCGAGTTGAGACGGTTACGTCCATCGATTACGCGCAATTAGCACGCTCGCAAGAGCACGACAGCGAAGTCGAAAAGTACATAAATGCGTCTGATACCTCGTTGGACCTGAAACGGATACGCACGATAGACAGCGACGCGCCTGTCTATTGCGACGTTTCAACCGGTAACGTGCGTCCATTCATAACGGCTCCATTCCGACGCCAAATTTTCGACGCCGTACACGGGTTGTCGCATCCCGGTGTAAAGGCGACAATCCGTCTGGTAAAACAGCGCTTCGTTTGGCCGTCGATGGAAAAGGATTGCCGAGAGTGGAGTCGGAGCTGCCTCGCGTGCCAGAGAGCAAAAATCACCAAACATGTCTCGAGTCCGGTAGGCACCTTCGCGCCGCCGTCGAGCAGGTTTAAGCACGTGCACCTCGACTTAGTAGGACCACTAACTACGTCGAGGGGTCATAGATACTGCCTCACCTGCATCGATAGGTATACACGTTGGCCAGAAGCTTTACCGCTCGAGAACATCGAAGCCGAAACAGTCGCGCGTGCCTTTGTTTCGGGGTAGATTGCACGTTTTGGGACACCGGCCAGAATAACGACGGATCAGGGCCGGCAGTTCGAGTCCCATCTGTTCAGACAATTGAATCACTTACTCGGATGTAAGCATTTAAGAACTACGGCGAACCACCCCGCAGCAAACGGCATGGTCGAGCGTTTTCACCGGCAGCTGAAAGCGGCGATAAAATGTCGTGCCGACGACCGGTGGACCGACGCGTTACCTGCCGTTCTGCTGGGCATACGAGCGGCGTACCGAGATGACCTAAAGTCATCAGCCGCGGAGTTGGTGTACGGCGAGAACATCAAGCTCCCCGCAGAGATGTTCCGCGACAACAATACCAACGCGACCGACCAGGCCCAGGTGATAGATCAGCTGCGCGACGATTTCCGTAAGATACGACCGACACAGGGTTCCCGCCACGGACAAAGGAGGATGTTCATCTTTAAGGACCTCGCGACAACATCGCACGTATTCATACGGACAGACGCGGTACGAGG